GAACGTCTGTGTGCGCACAGCTGCGCATGCACGTTTGGACTTGGAGTGTGTGTGTATATGATGAATGTCTGTGTGCGCAAACCTGCGCATGCAGGTTTGGACTTGGCGTGTGTGTATGTGTTAAATGTCTGTGTGCGTATACCTGTGCATGCACGCGTCGACTTGGAGTGTGTGTATATGATGAATGTCTCTGTGCGCACACCTGCCCATGCACATCTGGACTTGGAGTGCGTGTATATGATGAACGTCTGTGTGCGCACAGCTGCGCATGCACGTTTGGACTTGGAGTGTGTGTGTATATGATGAATGTCTCTGTGCGCAAACCTGCGCATGCAGGTTTGGACTTGGCGTGTGTGTATGTTAAATGTCTGTGTGCGTATACCTGCGCATGCACGCGTCGACTTGGAGAGTGCGTATATGATGAATGTCTGTGTGCGCACACCTGCGCATACCCGTTTGGACTTGGAGTGTATATGATGGATGTCTCTGTGTGCGCACACCTGCGCATGCACGTTTCAACTTGGATGAATGTCTTTGTGCACACCTGCGCATGCAGACGTCGACTCTGCTGCAGAGGCAGCGCAGGCGAGTGGAGGCAACTACTTCAAAACGGTGCAGTGTAGGTTTTTGGCAGGGTAGTGGATCAAATACGTGAGCCGGTGTTCGCCTTCGTCCTTCGTTGTCTTTTGCTATAAGTCTAGCGGATGCAAGTATGGGGAGAGCTGCATGTATGCCCACGGGAGAGAGGAGCTGAGAGGCAACCCAAACATCATATGTGCGGTTTGCGAAACAGGGTTTGGCTGCGATGTGTGTCACCGATCATGGCTATACGGACACATCTGTGTCTCCAGGAAGTACAGGTCTCAACAATTGCTTCTACGCCCATGAGCAGCTGAGCAGCAAATCTGGAGGTCAGGGAAGACAGTAAAAAGAGGGGAAAGACGGCTATTCTAACCATGATGCGCCTCTATCGAAACAGAGCTCAGAACCATTCCAAGGACCCGCATATAGGAGACCAGTAGGCACATTGGCAGGGATTTCTGCTGGCATAGACCCTCTGCTCTTGTTGGTTTCGACCTGCAGCCAAATAAAAGGGGCCATCCGTCAAAAGACCATGTACGTGTATTTGTGTCCATGCACGCACCGGCAATGTGCCTAAAAAAATGTAACTGGGCCTGATGCTTTTGCTGTAGCTCGCCTGATCCAAGTACGTTAACATCCGTTGCTCACTTGCTGTTTGTCTGAGCTCTCAAGCGCCATGTAGCCTGAGTGACAGGAGCTAGGCCAGTCAGCAGAGTCACAGGTTGGATGGGAGAGATTCCCATTCGTTACAGCGCTCACCGCACCCATTTGCATGCGCGCGTCGACTTGAAGTGTGTGTATATGATGAATGTCTCTGTGCGCACGCCTGCCCATGCACATCTGGACTTGGAGTGCGTGTATATGATGAACGTCTGTGTGCGCAAACCTGCGCATGCACGTTTGGACTTGGAGTGCGTGTATATGATGAATGTCTGTGTGCGCACACCTGCCCGATGTGGAATGGCCGTGTGTGTCCCTTCTTGTCGTGTGGGCATATGTCTTGTGCGGATGTGTGGATCGACTTGAGTTTGCGTTCGAGTGAGTCGGCCGCCTGGTAACTCAGCAAGTGATCCGGGTCACATACCCTGCACAGACACAGACACACATCCATCCGTCCATGATGGGATGTCTGTCTGTCTGTCTGTCTCACCATGAGTATTGGAGTCCCTGTCGGTTGCAGTCGGCCGGGTGTGTGAAGGGGCTCGGATAGGAAGTGGCCGTCGAGGCCGTCACGCGGCCGTCCGTCGCGTTGATCTGATGGGCAGCGGACGGCAGCAGCGGCTCAGTGTCGTCAGTGTAACTACAATCACACAAACAAGGAGAGACACAGAGCTAGTGCTTGCTCGTCTGTCTGTTTGTCTGTCTCATTCGCTGATTGGGTGAGTGGCTGGCTAGCATACATTGGCGGGATGGCGTGTTGGGTGTCGGCGCCTTGCACTCGTCGCACCTTGCCCCAGCCGTCACCCTCATAAGCATCATGGCGGTCGTCGGGCGCCAAGGGCTGCTGCTGCTGGGCCGCTGACGAGACACCCAACAGTGCACAACACGCCCCACACAAAGCGACAGTGACCATCATCACGGGGAAGGCTCACAGATGACCAACAAGAAACTCTCACTCAAGTGAATCACGTCTCAACCCTGTATATTTGATCGATCGCTTTGTTTCTTTGTCGGTCTGTTCGGTGCGTAACACGGCAAGAGGGCAAACACTCACGCTCTGTCTTTCATCCGTCGATAATGAATTCACCTTCTTGTGTCGCCACCATTCTGACTGGTCAGAGTCAGTCCATATTGATGTTTTTTCACCAGACGGACATGTTGACCAAAGATACACACACAGAGCGTGTCTACCAAAGAGACACGACCATCTGTCGATGAATGTCTCCCTCGTTGTGCGTGAACCTGGTGCCTTGGCACACAGTGGGGCATCGACATCACCATCCCTGGACCAGAGAGAGACAGGTGCATTTAATTGTGTTCCTGTTCGTCACGCAGTCTTCGGGCACTGCGGCGTCGTCCGCGTCATCTGGATCTGCCTCTGCTGAGTCTTCCTTCTTCTCATCTGCCCTTCGTAGGGAGGCCTCATTTGTGCCTGTCGTGTCGTCGCTTGAGTTGCAGCACGTGATGGATTTCCTTGAGTCAGACAGCCACAGCAGCAGTGTCGACGAGTGTGCCGCCGCGCTACCGAATCTCCCTCCTTTTTCTTGAAAGCTGCGTGAACACACACAGATCCTGTCGCGGTGGCCATTCTCCCGTGGCAGATCTGGGGGCCGTGGTGGGCGTCTCGGAGATCCCGCGCTCCGCACCGCGGTAGCGTTGCGAAAGAATGTTGGATTTCTGGAGGACGCAACGCAGCCCACGTGTGCAGAGTCGGGAGGGCAGCATCTCAAGAGACGCCGAGAGCCGCCCATCTGCTGATGACCCCTGCTACGTCCAGCTGCCGAGAGTGGAGGATGAAGAGAAGGAGGCCATCCCTCACGGACAGAAAGGGAGAGCGAAGGTCGGCTTGTATTGCACTTGCACCCCTACATCCTCCTCTTACCGTGCTCTCACGCCCTTTCCATTGCAGATGGCTCTGACGTCCCGGCGGGCGGCGTCGGCCTCGAGTGACAAGATTCCCCTTCTGCTGGACAAGGAGGAGGAGCGCGTGGAGTCGCAGCTGGCTGATGTCGAGGATGACGTCCCTCCTGCCCCGAGGCGGCTCGAAGAGGTCCATCCACCTTGTCGAGCAACTCATGAGTGCTGTCACTTGTGTCTCTTCCACAGGTCCCGCTGGTGGGTGCCCCTGCCGTTGAGGAAGACGAGGCGACCAAATCACTCAGGCCCAGGACCAAGATAGCAGTCCTGGGCTTCGCAGACAAAGCAAAGCTGGAGCAGTTGCGGAAGGATCTTGCCAGTCTGCCGTCTGGTCAAGCGGAGAGAGTACTGACGACTGGCGACTGGGATTATGGATCTGCCATCCACCTGGCTGCGTGTATGCATCGTTGCAAGACGACACATACATGATGCACCTACGCGGCCCCTGTGTGTGCTTCTCAGGCTCGTGTAAGGAGGGGAATGTGTTTGAGGTGCTGCTACACGGACGGCGTCACCTGCTCAACCTAAAAGATGAGGTATCGTGGTCGAGGGTCATCCTCGTCGTTCTGGCTGATCAAGTCATCACTGCTGCATTCGTGCTGTGTCTGCAGTATGGCAGAACACCACTTTACAGAGTTGTGGAGCGGGGTGGTCTAGATCATCTTGTTAAGAAGTTCGTCGAGTTGGGCGGAAAGGATCTGCTAATAGCTCAGGACAAGGTGAGGATTAGACAAGGTCGAGGACATGCTGGACAGTACGTTCATTATTCCCATTGGCCTACCGATGTTAGTACCGCTGACTTTATGCTGTTTCTCTAGGATGGCAAGACGGCACTCCATTACGTTGCAAAAAGAGGTGGTGGGGATGATCTTGTCAAGAAGTTCGTCGAGTGCGGCGGCAAGGACCTGCTGAAAGCTCAGGACCAGGTGAGGATTGAAAGTTCCAAATCCTGACGTTGGCATCATTGTCTGTCTGACAGGATGGTCACACCCCCTTGCACTTTGCAGCAGGTAGGTAGCAGATAGAGTGTACTGAATGTGCGGCTTCTGTAAGGACTCGCGTTGCTAGCTGGCAGCATCTGGCAATGCAAGTATTTTGGAGACGATGCTAGAGGTGGCCCCTGATTTGCTAAATGCCACTGACAAGGTACAGATCAGGCCCAGTGTCCTTTATGGAATGATAGCTGACACATATCATCAGAACGGCAGAACTCCTCTTCACAGCGCGGCAGGTTCGTTGGTCGTCTTGCGAATGGATAGCCGCATAGGTATCGTGTCTCTTTTCTCTCCTATAGAGAACGACTGTGCTGGTGTGGTGGTGTTGATGTTGAAGATGGAGCCTGAGCTGCTCACGATGCAGAGTGTAGGCCGCACGGCACATATCAACCTGCGTCTCGAAATCCGAAATGTTCATGACTCGTCGGAGGGACAGCTTTCGATTATTCCCTCTTCGGCAACAAGCTGAAAAGTGTCGCTGCGATGGTCGAGGCGGCTGGAGAGGTCATTGACATACTCCACATGGAAACAGATACCGAGAAGCTCGGTCGCCTACTGAAGCCGGATGTGCTTCCCGAAGCGCTTCCGTTTATGCAAGACGGACTTCTCGGGTTCCTGAGACAGCGATCCGAGTCTCCTGGCATCGACAGCCTCCGCTGGTGTTCCGTCTTTCGCCAATTGATGCAGTCACGACCGAATGATTCTCTAACAGATGACATTGCAAGAATAGCTGACTGGTTGGAGGTACAGAAAAAAAGGTCATCTACTTTGCGCACTTTTGCTTCTTTCAGGCTGTTACAGCGACCTTCTGCACCGAAACACGGGAGAAAGACTTCCGATCAGCACTCAAAGGCAGAGAAGAGAAATTTTTTGAGCTGCTGGAATCTGCGGAGCCACTTCATGTAGTCACCCAAGGTACACAGTGCATGTCGGACTTCCCTCCCTGGTCCTCACTGGGTTTGCCTGTCTTGATTTGATTGCAACAGCTAACTGCATCTGTCTCATCACACTATACTGGCAGCAATTCTACAATTGGAAGGACATTGAGTACAACTTTGAGCCGAATGAGCAGCACAGGAAAAGCTTCAGGAGGACAATCCGGCCCCTCTTGGCAGAGCTTTCGCCTCGCTATCAATGCTTCTTCTGTAAGAGTGCACGCACAAGCCAGTGCAGGCCAGAAGAGACACACTGTTGTCTTGTCTGCAGGGTCATTTCTCTGCTTCTCCACATCGAATTATAAAGAGACAACGGGCAGTCGGTGTGGTTGTGGAGTCCACTGGCAATTGGCGTTGGATTCGTTGTAGTCGAAATGCTCCAAGTAAGGCGAATGTCACTTCTCTTCCACGTCTTCGTCCTCCATGTCTTCGTCCTCCACGTCTTCGTCCCCCACGTCTTCCTCTGTGCGTGCAGGGTCTCCGTCTTAGAACATCGTACTGGGCAGACTCATGGTAGGCATCAGACATTCGAGGACACAACACCCGTTGCAAGTGTTGCTAAACATCGATTGGGGATGAGTTTACATCCTCGTGAGTCACAGTAGGAAGAGTAGCAAGGTGTCTGGACCAGCTTCAGCAGCCAGTTTCTCTTCTCGTTTACCCTCACTGAGCATCTTGCGGGTGATGTCTGGCTCCTCCACGTCGGGCTTCTTGATGACGCGGTTCGGGTGCTTGTGAAGGCCATCCAACAACGTCACCAACAACTCCCACACTCCCTTCAACTCGACGGATACGTTTTTGTTCAGGTGTATGCATAGATACATTCACCACATACACGCCCTCTAACTCACGCGTACGTGTGCATGCGCAGGTGTGTGGACAGAGATACCTCCTTCAAGTCCACGCGTGCAGGCGCTTGTGTGCGGACATTCATCCCATGTTCCGTTTGGACGTCCTTGCGTGCATGCGCACACCTTGCCAAGAGAGACACTCCCTCGTACTCGAGGCACTCGTGCATGTGCAGGTGTGCGCACAGAGACATTTATACCGTCTGCAAGTCCACGCCTTCATACGCGAACATGCGCGCAGAGGTATTCATCATATACGCCCCCTGCAAGTCGACGCGTGCATGCGCAGGTGTGCGCACAGAGACAATGATCCCATATACCGTTTGCACGTCCTTGCGTGCATTCACAGGTGTGCGGACAGATACGCTCCCTTCAACTCGATGCATCCGTGTAGGTGCAGGTGTGCGCACGGAAACTCTCATCATATACACGCCCTCCAACTCCACGCGTACGCGTGGGTGCGCTTGTGTGCGCAGAGAGGAATTCATCTTACATGCCGTCTGCAATTCGACGCGCGTGTGTGAGGAGTGCGCCTGCAGTTGCTTCATGTGTGAAATGAACATGTTTATGCGTTCACCTGCGCACACCTGTAGTTGGCCGGTGTGTATACTGGATGGTTTGTATTGGCTGGTGTGTGCGATGAACGCATTTTCTATCTATTCGCCTGTGCACGCTTGTAGTTGGTGTGTACAATGAATGTCTCTGTGCGCACGCCTGCGCAAGCCTATAGTTGGTTGGCGTGTGCAATAAACCCCCCGCCTCAGATGGTGGAAGAAAGCAAACTAAACTGCGAAGCGCTGAGTTTTGAAGAAATATCCGCAATGCACATCCAGGCATGCAGAACCAAATAGCGATGGCCAAGGGTGAGAGACAGACTTAACTGAAGACCTCGATATAGACGCTGCCGAATACAGAAAAGGCCTCAAGCGAGACGAAAGCATAAGCTCAAAGCAGCCAAACTCCCAGGGCGGCAAGTCCACAACCTTTTTGGTGCAGAGGGACGAACTATAGGGGGAGCACGATACAGCTGCATTCTTCTTCTCGAGATCTAGAGGTGCAGCGATGGGAGGTGGCAAGGCACAAAGTCAGCCTAAGTTCGAAGGGTGCAGGCCCAGGACCCAATGGCATAGCGGCGTAAGTTCGAAGGCAGTGGCACAGCGGCCTAAGTTCGAAGGCTGCAAGCCCAGAACCCAATGGCACAGAGGGATGAATGCTCGAGAGTGTAATACGACTCTACCTTCTTTCAGGGGAGCGGGGAAGGGGAGCGGGGGGAAGAGTGGAGAACAGGTGTAATGAATGAATGAACGAGGTCCCGGGATGACGTGTGCACAGGGTTAACGGAAAGCGCATCGGCACGAGGAGTCCATCAAGAATGCAAACTAACTAGGTAGCTGTCCCTTCAATTCAATCACTGCAAGCATGCCAAAGTAAGCCTCTGCCCGACCACCCACCGAGTCCGTCATAGAGTGTGTGTGTGTCATAGATCATCAATCCTTGACATGTAGAGTGCACATAAGTGATGCCCCTGGGGAAGTGGCCGTCAGCGTACGAGACGCCAAGTTCAAACGACGACGCACAAAGGGCGGGATAGTTGGCACGGAATAGCGCTGAGCTCTTGGGCTGGTGGGAGATGTCGTGCACGTGATGCTCGGCAACGGCGAATTGGCACACGGCTGTATTCAAGTGGTTCGGCTCGGTCGAGAAGGGGCCAAAGCGGGTGGCGCATGCGAGCAGCAAGAGAAAGAGGACGATTGGACGCACATGGACTGCTGATTCCTGTTGCATGGGCAACTCAGGTCCAGCGCGGCCGACGTAGAATGGCTGCATTGTTCGTTTGTGAGAGAGGTGAGGCGACCTGCACATCGGTGGGGAGCTCGCGATGAGGTGGGCGTGATGGTGGCGCTTCCGCTCTCAGGGTGAACTGTTTCATGCTCGCGGAGCAGGAACGGAATGGTGGGATCCTGGAACTGTTCCTCAGCGAGGACGCAGAGAATGATAGAGGCTCCCGTCACATTGGCCAGGGAGCGAACGTCACACTCGGTCAATGATGAATTGCTTCGGACATCTCGGATGTGCTCGACAGGTCTGGCAAAAAACGCGTCCAACTGTCCCGCAGAACGCCGGCGTTCGAGGTCTTCCGCCACTAGCCGGCGGAGGTCTGCCGGTCCGGGGAGAGGGGCGGGAAGGAGGTCATCCGGTTGCCTGTCGCCAAGGCGAAGCCGTCCTTGACCCAACTGGCGGAGTGCTGCCTCGAGCAGGCAGTTGTCGTCCGTACCTCCTCGTTGACAAACCGGAACGTAATGCTGAAGCTGGCGGAGTGAAGAAGGCCACCCCGTTGCCGAAGCTCAGCGAAAGGGGGAAGGCGAGGGGGGAAAATCATGCTGCGCAGCGCAGCCGCTCGCATGGGGCTCTCGACGGCGATGGTCGCCAAAGCAAGACGCACCATGTCTTCGGAGAGCTCACCGCTGCTCATCTTCGCCCGGATCCGAGCGGCATTATCGTCACGCGAATAGCCGGTGCCGAGCGGGCCAACCAGCAGGTCAAAGATCGTCAGGAGGCGCGTTACTGGTAGATGGAAGCGCTCCTCACAGAGGCGGCCCTCAGCGAATCCTTCCCACGAGGAGGGAGGCCATCCCCATTCCCTTTCCAGCTCCAAAACGGCCGCATGCCAAGGTTCCTCTGCGAAAGGGCAATGATCCTCATTCCGCACCGTGCGGGAGTTCCGGCGGGCAGACTCTTCTGCCTCCACACAAGGTCCACAAACGAGTGAATTGCAGGCCCGGCACGGTAGATGGCGAAACTCCTGGCCAACCGGCCGTGCGAGAGAGCATCCCGGGCACACACGGTCACCAGAGGAAGGGGGCGAAGGCCGGAGAGGGTCGGGGGCGAGAACGAGAGCCGACACATCGGAGACACCAAGTATGCACTCCGGGCAGAAGTAGTGTCGACAATTGGGACACTCGATGAGGGGCGGGGGAGTCGCCAAGAGGGAGCCCGCCTGATGAAGGCTACATGCCCGACCCTCAACATAGTCAGGAAGCTGAGCCCGCTGTGTCTCAGCGAGGCGGACAACGCAATAGATGCAGCAGCGGTGCGTTGCCAGAGCCGATGGAGGAGGGTCTCGTGCTGGGTCACGCGGGAGGGAGGGCCAGTGATCGTGGAGACACACGATATCTCTCACAGGGCGATCCTCCGCACAGAGCTGGCACGTCTCGAAGGCAGAATCCAAACTCATCACCTCGCCGAGAAACAGAAGAAGCTGAAGGAGGGCAAGTCCACAAAGTAACATACGGGGGGAAATCAGCGCATTGACCGAATTCGTGTCCGCACGCTCAGACAAGGACGCAAAGCATGCAGCACGCACCCACGCGCACTTGTCTCCAGCTAGAGCCGGTCGGCAAAAACGAAGTCAGGCCGAATGGTCAGGTCCCTGAAGGCAGGGGGGAAATCCAGCAAGAGACGCTCCTCGTCTTCGGTGAGGGGACGAGAGACACGCTCGTCGAAGATCGGAACAAGGGCGGGAGCAGAGGAGACGTCCAGAAGGAGAGGGCGATGGCAGTCACGACAGACAGGGACGGCAAACTAGAAGGTAGGACGACCGCAGCGATTGATCCGGGCCCCTTGCGTCACCGACCGCTTAAAGCCGTCACACTCCGCGGAGATACACAAGTAGGCAACCTGGGTCCTCAGATTCCCGAACGAGTTTCCCAGATTGTCGGTCCAGCCAGGAACCTTGTTGAAATGGCCCTCGGGCACAACGGCAGGAGACGCGTTGAGTGCCTCCTGCTTCAGGATCCGGGCCGGGAGAAGCCTCGCAGCTGGGTTGAAGCTGGGCTGCTCTGGCGGCTGTCTGGGCCGTGGGGTGAGCACCGGCGGGCGGTGAACGATATGTTCGGAATCCCTGCGCATCACGAAACGGGAGACCTCCGCTGAGAGGCGGCGGCGCAAGCCGTGCCGAACCTCAATAACCTCTCGAGTCAGATGGAAGCTGTCGACGGTCTGTGTCTTCTCACGGGAAGACCACCGACTTTGACCCCGCCGATACTCGTCGATCACGTTCTGGGAACACCGGTCGATCACACAAAGGGCCCGCTCGACCTCGAACGGGGGCGAGGGAATGCGAGCGTCAGGGCGACGCTGATACGGGCGGGCTCGATTGGAGCCTTGAGACATGCCCTGCCTGGTCAAGGCAGGGAAACAAGCACGGAACAATACAGGCGCACGGCCTGCCGCAACTCCCTGTTAGGCACACGGCCTACCCCGACACCGGCGCACGGCCGGAAAGGGCAACTCCTCAGGCACACGGCCAAGCTGCACAGGCGCACGGCCCGTCGCAGAACACTGTCCTCCGACAACCACACTCGACACCGGCACACGGCCGGCTGGGGTGTCGCTCAGACGCAAACAGGCTCACGGCCTGGCAGGGACGTCTTCAGACACGCGAGGTACGCTTGCACTGGCACACGGCCAGTCACCAAGTCTCCAGATGGCCCCCAAACGCCACACGGACCACCAAGGTCTTTCGCGGGGTCGGCAAGGCGCAGATGAGGCACGGAACGCCGAGCCGGGCTGCCACCGAAGTGCTTTGCACTGAGCAGGCGGTAGCTCGAACAAAGCCCCCCGGCATTCCCCCC